TGGCTGCTGCTGCCATAGTGGCCAACACTGTCCCATACCACAGGCCAGACTGGGCTCATGAGGAGTCCCACAGTCTGGATTTGGTCCAGGGCACAAGGTGAGTTTGACACCACTACCTTATAGGACTGAATCCCTTGATTGTAAAGGTCACATCCAACAAACCCACGCTAAGCAGTGTTACTCCAAGAACCTACCGCAGAAGGATAAATGAGTATAACACACTACAAAGATCAGAACACCTGGTACCACAGAATCAAGTCAAGATTTGGCTTGGGCTACAAAGCCACATAGCTGCTTTTCTGCCTGCTGAAGGCATTTTAATAAAATAATTATCCTGACATAAAGCAAGGCAGCTGGCACAATAGGTAACCTGCTAGCAGCTGTGGGTAAACAACCATTGGGCTTCCAGAGAATGAGAGAGACTTGAATGCTGGCTGGTCTCCTAACTTCTGAAAGGAGAGATTTTTAAATGCTGCCTGATCAAGACCTTGATAGGGTTGGTATCTACTGCTGAATGAATAGTGGTTATTGATATCACCTTACTAGGACAGAATGATACCAATAGACATTGAGAAGAAACATCTTGGAACAATTACATGTTTTGATAACATTTGGAGAGATGATTTTCACATGCCAATGAAAGTCAAATGAAATAGAGCAGACAGATGAATTTACTGATTTTTCTGAAATGCCAGGTTCACATTTTTCACCATACAATAAAGCAGCTGATAGTTGTCAGTGATTCCTTTGAAATCATAAGGCAAATTTTCAGTGCAGGGCTTTGGCCACATGAGCTCCACAAATCAATCTGGAGCCAATAGCAATTTTAAATGCATTCCGTTAAGTGCTTTAATGGAAGGTGGAGGGGAGCTAAAATGCTAGAGAAGCATCTTTCCTCTCCTCCCCATAAACAATAAAAGCAGTGCTTCCCATCCAGAGGCTCAATGTGGACAAAGTCACAGCCTTATATGTCATCCTCTTCCTGTTTGTGTAACTCCCCTTCCCCACACTCATCAAAATCTTTAAATCTTACCTTTCTGTGTTTACTTCATACATACTGACAATATCTGCATATGAATACCAACACACTCAGAAACCTGCAATTCAAAAGCTCTCAAACAGATTTTGGCCACCAGACTACAAGTGGCAGCACCTCTAATATTCTTTTCTTTACTGCACTGTATTTACTTTTGACATTGCAAAAATTATAATAAAAAGAAAATCAACCTACCTGCCAAGGTCTATCCCAATCCAGAGGGATAGGAAACGCTCCAAGCCACGCTCCCACTATGCTGCACATTGTGGTAATTTGTAGACTGTTATCCCAGATGGACATGGCTCTGTAAGATTAGCACATTTTACAGGAGTTCAGCAGCAAAGAAATCATCCTTTCAGTGTATTAGACCTACCAGCATAACAAATTGCAAAAGTCAAGCACAAAAAAATGTCACTAATACTTCACATATAAAGCACAGACTTCTTCAACATGCAGACCTAGCTTAAAGTGTTCACACTGCATTTAAATATAAAAAAGTCCTACAAAATTCTTTACTAATACTGCCTATATTCAACTCGAATCCCCATGGAAAGACAAGATGCAAAAACATTCAAAGCATTAACAGATTGTACTAAATACTGAACTCTTTGGCCTTCTGAAAGAAGCATGACATGATGAAATACAAAAACTATTTAAATAAAACTTCATGGACCTAAAATAAGTTTAATTTTTGCCAAATGTTACTTAATTATTCCTTGTGGCTACAACATACATTTTTACAATAAGACTGAACAAGTATTTTTATAGGTAGGCAAAACAGATGGTAGACTAATCTGGATTAGTTTTCAGTTGGGATTCAGCATTTGAATTTGAAGTTGCGTGCTCTTTCTCCTGTGACCGGCTATGGGGTTATTTCTCCCATCTTGAACCAAATCCAAAATCAGACCTATGGTTGACTCTGGACTTGATATCATGTTAAATGTACTATTTCTTGTTTTCTCTGGACCACACTTGTTCAACACTGTGTCAGTAAACACAACTTTCACTATGTGTAGCCCCTCAGGGCATGCCTACAGGGCTTCAAGTTGCAATCCCAGGTGTGCTGCCAGCAAGGTAAGCCACCCCCCAAACTTGCTCTGGGTCAGACACCTCTGGGACCAACAAGCAGAGAGAGTAAGGTAAGGGGCTTAAAGCACCCCAAAGTGCATGCTCCAGGGCCACACAACACAGGCTCTCTGTTTTGGTACAGACTAAGAGCAGCACTGGTGGAGATGCTCAGGTTCACCAAGAGCTGCCTTGAGCTCCTCCTGAGCCACCCCACTGTGTCTTGTTCCTGGTTTCTGGTGTGCCCAAGCAAAAGTGAGCAGGTGGGACTTATTTTGTTTGGGGCAGTCCCAGGGTTAGGAGGGAGGCTGTACAAACATGGCCCGAAAGTTCCCCTAGCTTACTCATGTTTCAGCCTTTTAACAGATCAGAGCGAGATAATTCCAGTGACAATGGCTGCAGAGAAACTATGCTGATGTATTTTAAAGTTCTGAAGAAAAAGCCGCTGCATATCATAATATTAATATTGTTCTAACCTTTTGAGCCCATGTCCCCCAGGGCTAGCAATAACCAACTGACACAATGTTAAACATGACAGCCCCTGTCTGCACTTTTTCATACTCTGTTAATTACAACTCCTCTGGAGTATTTTAACATGATTAATTTGCCACTGTATGCAAGCCCTTAGGGGAGTTATTTTTAACCCAAACTAAGAGAGGAAGTCAAGTAGGCTTTGAGAGAGAAACCCACATGGGCCTTTTCACCAACTGTCAATGACTCTTATTTATAGGCACTTCCATCCAAAATAGGATGACTCCAGCCACCTCCACTGCTACGCAATCAATGTCCATGCAGCAGATGCCATTTAGCCAGTTTTTGCTTCAGCTATGGCAGTATCAACAACCACTTTCTCAAAAGCTTATTGGTGGAAGCAGCTGATGGTATCTGAGGGGAAAGGAAACTACTTGAGACACAGCTAAGATTTGGGTGAACCCACTTACCCCACTAACTGCTTCACAAAAGGGCTGAGAGGTATAGTCTCTATACCAATGCAAATACCCTCATATGCAATAAAAGTTGTTACAGTTTCTTGGACAGTCTCTGAGTCAAATGGAAAACTATTAGCCATCTTCTCTATGAAGAAGGAAAAACCAGGAAAAACTAGGGAAACCTCTTTTCCAATGGAAAAAGACTTGGGTTTAAAGGAATCATATTGTTGTTCGTAGTCAAGAAAATATCCCTGTTCTCCATCAGGAACATCCCAAGCCACTGTCACAACTTAGTCAATTTGGGATGTGACATGCCAATGCTGCTAATAAACACATCAACACTGACTGCCCAGAACCCATTGCTGCTGAGGTTCTAGAGCACAAGTATGATGTTGATTTCATCAGAACTCCGTCATGCCAGTCACTGTCAATGTTAGGACAGTGCTTTGGTGAACCTAGATTCAACACAAAAAGACAATCAAATATTTTCTGAAAAGATGACTTCAAGGAATTAAAAAAGCACTGTATTTTCTCACATACCACCCCTCCCCCCCACCCCAAATAAGACATGCACCTTGTTTTCAGGAAGGCAGAATGAAGAAAGAGGAAAGGACAAAGCCTCATCTTCAGCTTGTCCACCTTCCTTCTTTTTGCTTAACCAAAAGCTGTTGAAATGTTAGCTGCTGCTGAAGACTGGTCTCCATGAGAGGATCTATGGTTTTGAAAAGATCTAAAGAGTCTCCAAGGCCATGAAATAAGAGAAGAGAGGCCAGGAGTACCTAAAAGATAGTAAAATTGCCAGGAGAAATATTAGCTTGCTTAGTGGAATATCAAGACTGTTAAAAAGAAGAGGTGATTGTTAATACTTGTGAACTGAACCCTCAGCTGCCTGAAAAGAAATGCCACTAATGCTGCCAGACAATTGGTTTTGGAGCAGAAATCAAAGTAGGGTGTTTTTATTTTAGGCAGAAAAATCAGCTTCCCTGCTTAAGATGCACACCCCAATTTTGGAGGGCTGATTTTTGGGGAAACTGCATGCATATGTGAATAAACATGGTATGCCCTGCAGCAATTTAGGAGCTAAGGAATGACAGCATGAACATCAGAAAATGGTTAGTCATTTGGCTCCTTTTTGGTGGAGGCCACAGAAAAGCTAAATCAAAGCTGATGCTGTCGGCTCAATCTATTCTTAGAAAATAGGCTGCGTTTCAAAACTTATTAGATGACACATTTTAAATGTCATTTTGCACATAATATGCAGTTTAACACCTTTACAAATGTGATCACTAATCATTGTTGTCCTGATGGAAAAAACTTGACCTACTCTCATAGTCTGTACATATCTCTTGATATAGAGTCATACTGAATGCCACCAACTGGGTCAGGTGAGAACTTGAGGGTCAAAGTTTCATCTTAGTTGACAGCATAGCAATACTGGGTCTAGAAGGATGCTTGATACTAGATTAAAATAAAGTTCTCAAGTCTCTACTATGGGCCTTCCATAACTATAGGCAGCCAAGGGAGCATTCTCTTGGCATCCAGCTTGGAGTCTTTCCTTTGGTTCCCTTGAAAGCAATGTCTCTGAAGGATTCCAGACCATCTGCATGCCAATCATAACAGCTCACCTTCAGAAGAACAGGAAGACTTTGAGCTGCCCACTCTCAGGCACGTAATTGCAGTTGTAACAAAAGCTAATCTTGCCAGACACAATCCTGTCCAGGGCAGATGGTACAGCAGACAGGTTGCACCACTGCTAACAAACAATATTACACCGTCAATAAGAAAAGGGAGTGAAGTGTTCTCAAGTTTGCCAATAATGCACCAGGACAGAAGGACTCCATCCAGCAAGACAAAATAATTCACCACTGCAAAGGAAACGCAAATTATTCAGTTCTGACCAATTATCCGGACCAATTCTGACCAATTCTCGGGAATTGATTATTGGCTGGAAGAGGGATATGGGAGTGGGGAGGAATTAAGACCACCACCAGTAAGGAATCAGAACAACAATATCCACTAAACAAATTAATGGAGTTTACTGTATAGCACTTTGAAAAAAGCAAAGCAACTGGGCTCAAAGCCCTAAGTGTGCTGAAGATGCAGATAACTCTCTATAAGATGTTCCAAGGGGAATGAAGGACGCAAGAACCTCCCAAGTATGTTGTCACTGAAAATACATTCCCATAAACTGCATGAAAGACAGAGGATGCAGGTAAGATAAAGCCCCATGGGGAAAACAGTGTGAGATATCCTAAACTCTGCCAGGTGGTCTGAGGGGAAAAAAATGTTTTTATTGTGTTAGTTCTTTTGTTATTGAGACAAAGTATCTGTTGAAAGGGACAGAGGAGATACAAAAATATTAAATATTTCATCTGCCACAGCAGTTCCAAAAAAAAAGCATCTTCACCAACCACAGAATGGAACTGGTCAGCACAGGTAATATAAGTACCACCGCTGGCAGCCCACCCCTCTGGGTAGCATAGCTTAAATGATACAGCTGGGGGAGTTCTTACCAAGCCTACATTCTTGCATACCTTCTCCAGGGTTTCTAGCTATTGAAATAGGTAACTCGAAAAAATCTCTTGTGCTCCACTGCAATATTCCTTTAGCATGCTGCAGTTTTTGTCCGTCATTCCACTTCCTTAATGAATCTCAGCAGGATACACAAAGGATCACAGCTAAGTACTTCTTAGATATTAAAAAAGCAGTATTTTCAGTATATTAGAACTGGAATGTAATCAAGATTTTTATGGAACTGAACAATAATGCCTTGACAGGCCTCTAAGTGAAGAAACATCAGGGGCTCTTAATGTTTGGCACTGAAGCCAGATGTGCTCTGAATGAGCTCTGTTGGAATTCATTTTTATTTACCTTTTTTGCTTGCTGGATTTTTATTTTAAAAGTCATCTGACTTCTTTCTGTTCCATTAAGAAACCGGGCATTTAAGGAAGTGTGACAAAACCAGACAAAAGTGACAAACAGCAGCAATTCCCCTACCCTACTCTGACAAAGACAAAGGACATAGTGCTATTACTTCATGCACCGACTCCTGTGGGATATGTATATGATCCTACTTTTCACAAGTTGTGTGAGATCATCATGGCTTACAACAATAAAAGATTGGATACTTTATACAAACACCGGCATCCCAACAGGCCACAATTCTGAAACTTTTACCTGGGGATGAGAAGATTTTTCAGCTCAAAGCCTCCTTGAGGGCTCTGATCTCCTATTATTTTTACTAATTAGTTCACATATTGGAGCACAATTCCCTGTATAATAGTGCTTCTATCAGCTAACACAAACATTA